CATATATGATCTTACCTAAAATAAGAGAAATAACTTTGTAAAGGACATTAGACCAATGTCTTTTGCGCTCAGGAACATTTTCTCCTTATTTTTGTAAGTTTGCATGATGAGCTCCAGGGATGATTATCCAAGAGGTGTTAAAAAAAGCACGACTCTCGAGTTTGGCAGGCTGCCCTCGCTTCATCCAAGGAAGCTGCCCTGTGTCTATACCAAGAAAGACTTTGTCACCTGATATCTGTTTGTTTGCCATGCATGTGTAGCTGGGAAATTGATTGAGTTATTTGGCAAGCAGATTGCTTGGTACTGCACATCTGGTAAGTTTCTAGAAGGCTCTACAAAGCCAAACTCATACATATCAAAGTATTTGTTTGCTTGTATTCTTGCATTTCTAACATCCTGAAAATGAATGAGGTGCTATCACAGACTAATGACATCCACATTATATGTTTAACTACAGCAATCTTTTACACGTTAATGTTTTGCTTTCAGATAATGTTTAAACACAGGACACGATGAAATTCCTAATTATTTATTTTATTTCAAATTCCGTTTATGCACAAATTTAACCAATCAACCTATGAATACCTTTCCTACTAAAAATTAATCGGTAGCACACAGGGGATTTATGACATGATAAAGAAAATTATTAAAAATGATCATTCAAGATTAAGCCAGGTTCAAGCCAGCGACACAACGTGCAATTTCATTAACAATTAATTTAATGCTTATTTATATGCGACATAAATAAATATTCTTGATCCACAATGTTGTGCCCAGCAACATCTGCTAATAACGTCCAGCGTCCAGTTTTGCATTCACATATTCCTCCCTGTCTTCTCTCTTGCTGAAAGTATGATTAGCCTGAGAATCTAAAAGAAACTACAGGTGACATACTGCCACACATCTGAAATATAATGGGGAAATTCAAGCAGAAGTTCAGCAAATGGTTGCATTTTATCAGCAGCCTGCTAAACATACTATTTATGCTCTACAGTACTACACAGGCAGCTACAAATACATCATTTACACCACACTGCTGAGTGTCTGCCAAACCACTGAAACTTTGTGACTCATTCTCCATCAGGTGGGATTAGACAAGAATATAATCCCCAGGTCAGCCTGGACTAATCCATACCAGGTTTACTCAGGACGCCTCCACTGCAGGTTTTTTTTCTCACTTTCTGGATGTAATTTTCTGTTTCAAAGCAGTATAAACACAACCCAAATGAAGTCTAACTAACATTTAATTATTTTGGTGAAGTCTAGACTAGAGCTAGATAATAAATACAAAATTAGTTAAGTTGCTCCTTTGTGTTGCACTAAACAAATAAAAAACTAAAAAGCTATATTATGCATTTGTTTCAGTTAATTACTTCAATACACAGATCAAGTAAATATAATATAATATAATATAATATAATATAATAATGCTATATTATTACAAGAACATTTCAAAGGTGACTGTCAGTCTGAAAATGCGAATAGGTACGAAAATAGACGATGCTGCATATATCCTACAATAAGCAAAGTGCTTAGCAGGACAGATTTATCCACCCATTTTCCAGCTACTTCTCCAGTAGCAGGTTGTCCAGGTTGCCTGGATATTGCGGGCAGCAGAGGGCAGAAGACAGGGGCAGAAGACAGGGGCACAGCCAGTCTCTCATGGGGTACTTACACTGCGACGCTGTGGACCGCTGGGAGTCTGGGAGTATATTTTGTCAGATGAAAACTGAGTGACATATGAAAATCTATTGTCTATTGAATTAAAATGATTACTATTGAAAATCATGAAATGTTTATCAAATGTGCAACACAGACAAATGTAAAATCTTGCCCTGCCCATGCTATACTTGCTGCAGTTAATGCTAATTCAGTTTTAGCTGGAGAGAAAGTGTCTCCATTATGGGACCTCCTGAGTGCCGAGAGCCATTCTAGGGAGCCACACTCTCTTTCCTTTTTTCTATTTTGGTTGAAATTGGTGCAGTTGATTATGTTATAAATGTTATGTGCTTTTATTGTAATATTTGTCATGGAACAGTGAAATAATCAGATGAGATCTATCTATCTATCTATCCATCCATCCATCCATCCATCCATCTATCTATCCATCTATCTATCTATCTATCTATCTATCTATCTATCTATCTATCTATCTATCTATCCATCTATCTATCACATACATGCAGCGTAAGTCGGCAGATGGTGGCCAGTGGCCCAGATGTGGCCTGCTTAGACAAATATTTGGCCTCCGGAAAGAGGTTTCCCTTTTTAGTTTCCGTTAGGCCAACCCGCCTCCAATCCACCCATCTGCTGTAACACTGCTAGTTCTTAAATAAAACAAAACATTGTAACATTAAAAAAAATCTGACCAAAAGCGACCAAATTATATTAATACATTATATTAATATAATTACGCATTATATTAATTATAATAACAAATTATATTATATTAATGAGTTTCCAAACATTAAAAAACATTATCTAGACATAAAGTAATTTAAATAAAATTATTAATGACTAGGGCTGTCACTATTGATTATATTAATAAAAGAGTGATCTACCAATTAAACTGACAATTCATTGAGTAATTGATTATATGTAATATAATATAATATAATATAATATAATATAATATAATATAATATAATATAATATAATATAATATGCACATTGCAATAGGCATGAGACAGCAACCAACCATTGCAGGGTGCACTCTGAGTCACACATAAGGTCAATTCAGGCACTCCAGTTCATTTAAGTTGCATGTTTATGGGCAGTGGAAGGAAACTGGAGAATCTGCTGAAAACCCACAGGCACCAGGTGAACATGCAAACTGCACACACACACACAAAGTGGACGTGTGTGGACAGCCTTACCCACCGCACTGTGCTGTTCTTTCTAAGCTTGCACAATGTGTGATGTTAATATTGGCATGACATTTTATGCACATACAATGACCGCAAAAGTCTGCTAGGTTCAAACCATCAAATAGTTGCACTAAAACATATTTGGTCAGTCACAGGAAAAAATTTTTTGCAAGCATTGCAATTTTAATGATGATTCCTTTTGAACATTATCTAGTATATGTTAAAGAAATTCATCGTTTTTGTGTGAGCTCTGCATGCGCTCTTTGAGACCATCATAAAAATTGTCATCCTTGTTATTCGACTCAGTCATAGACATGTTTCAATATGGTCACTAGGGGTACGGTGCACTTCCTGTTTGTTTACATGAATACCATAACACACACAGCACAGAGATTACTGATCTCAGCATTTGTATCTCCGTAAAGGTCCAAAGATTGATATCCATCATAGGCCTTTAGTCTAAAAACAAGCTAAAATGCTCAAAAATAGAATAAATATCCCTGTAAATATGGTGTCTGTGACATCACCAGGTTTAACCCATGGCTCTCAACACATACACTGTGCCAAGGACTCAGAAGCCCTATTTCTTTATTTAACAAAAAAAGTAATTCTTAAAATAATTCATATTCAAACAAAACTTATTTAAATGTAATTTCATTACTGCTGTGTCTGTAAAACTATACAGGCCCCTTGTTGAGCACCGTTGGAAAAAAACGGCTCCCCAGCATTTCTTACATTTCTCCTGAAAGATGATCAGTCACTCATTGCAAATAAGTAAGACAAAATTATTCTCAAATGTATTGCTTGTTGTCGGTTAATCCTGGGCAGTTATTTGGAAGAGATTCCTAATGCTAATACTTGTCAGAGGCGATGTTGGTCCTAAACTTACTGAAAGGATGAGGAGCATCAGCTACTGTATCTGATGATCAGTTCATTGTCAAGAAAACAAATGGTAAAATCAGTTATATGTTTAAGACAAGTTGCGTCACGCTTATGTACGCCAAAACCATATGGGATTAAATTTACCTTCAAGTCAAGGATGATCTAATTAACTAAAAATCTAAATAAAAATTTGAGGCTATATCGTCATTAATTAACTGAAAAAGAATGGTAAATCAGTAATTTATGTACACAGTCTGATTACCTGTCATCTTAGATTACATCAAATTTTTATTAGGCTGTACTTATTAAACTAAGTGTTTAAACTATTCCTGATCTATTCAGTGTAGGGTCCATGTTGCATTAAGTTCACCACATTAATATAGCTTCATTTATTTCACATAGATTTTTAATATCAATGCAACTACATTTGCAGGTCAGGTTTTGTTAATCCACAGATAAGTCTCACTACCTACCTGACTTATTTAAGTTTTCGGTATTTATGTCCCTTTTCCCAACCAACCTGAAAGTTCAGACTTCACTGAATATTGCCTATGCATTCTGCCAGTTGTGACATGGACACACAAATACACAAGCAAAACAACAAATAAACAAAAGAAAAGAAAAATCATTCTGGAACAATCCCAGTATCTTCAAATATCTTTATACTTCATATGTACCTTACTACAAAATTCTTGCTAGCTAGCTACAGATATAAAGAACTCCATTTAATTTTTGATCTTTAAAAACAAATTTATGAATTCAACATTCAAATTAATGAAGAATTCTTAGCAAACACCAATGATTAATGTCTGCTTTAAAAGCAGATAAACCTTCTTGAAACCACAGTTCCTAGCTTCTACTTACTGTATTATTTGATACATTGTTGCTTTTACCTTTTCTCAAAAACATCACCGCCAGATAACAATGGTTTAACACCCCATTTCTCAACCCAGGCTTTGGGAGACCCCCAGATAGTCCACATTTTTGCTCCCTCCCAGCTCCCAAAACACGTGAAGCAAATAATGAAAAACAAACCAAAGAATCATGAATACCGAACTCCTGGTATAGGGAGTTGGGTGTGAGCGAAAACGTGGACTGCAGGGGTCCCACGAGGACTGGGTGGAGAAACAGCAGTTTAGCATAACATGTGCTCACACACCTTTATAGGTTAATTAGGGTCCTGTAGCGTGACATCACACTCTCCACCCGTCTCCCGCTCTCTCACACAGCCACACGTATAAATGTTCTCACCTCTTCCCATTGATGAATGTATCTGATGAGTCGTGAAAGCCGCAAAAGTCGCAGGAGACTGAGGATTTTTGTGAACCTCACGATGCGCAATGCCCGGGCAGTCTTGTACACTTCAGAGTCAAACCCTTTCTCCACAATTAGAAAGATATAATCCACTGGTATAGATGAGAGGAAGTCGACCACAAACCAGCTTTTTAAATAGTTCATTTTGATCACCTTGGGATCCAATATGATTTCAGAGCTTTCCTCATTGACAATCCCTGTTCTGAAGTTCATGACCAGGTCTACCAGGAAGATGGTGTCTGAGGCAACATTAAACACTAACCAGGTGGTGGTTGTTTGTTCAGAAAAGAATGTTATTCCGACAGGAATGATGATTAGATTCCCCATCATCATGATCAGCATAATCAAGTCCCAGTAAAATCTGCAACAGACAGAGCAGAAAGAGAGAATAATAATAAACATTTTGTCATGAACAGTCTAGAAACAGACCACACTGCAAAACAAATAAAAGACAATCAAAGCTAGACCAACAATAATTAATAAAGATGCACCGATTGCAACTATCAGTATCAGCCGATACAGCTACGATAGGCCATCAGTTGATGGTTAAAAACGAGCCAATATTTAATGCTAATAATTCCCTTTAAAATGGTGACCCATATTGCTTTGCACTCCCATGTACTAAACAGATATAAAGATGCTTCTGTGTGAATTTATTTTAATGTTAAAGAAAACGACATCAGAAATGCATTTTGCAAACATTGCTCTGCTATAATTTCACGAGGACGATCTATTAATAAGCATTACAACACAACAAATTTGATTGCTCAGCTTAAGGCGAGACAATGAAGAGTATGAAGTGTTTCTGATAAACAAATCCATCCCAGTAAAGAAGGCCACAGTACTA